TCCGCGTTGATGGAAGCTGAGACTGAGGACTTGAAGGTTTTAGATGAACTCAAAATGTGATGCTTTTCGTCATGCAGTATTCCGTTTATGATTGCCTTCTGTATGATACCTCAGGCGATTTTCACATTCGTCAGAAGTATTATCTGTAACTAATATATGATTTATGATATGACAACTCAGTAAGTTTGCACGTATGTGCGAGGGTCGGAGAAGCAAACCGGACCGGGTATGTCCTGTGATATAATCTCCAGACCCCCATCACGATCTATCTAGGACAGAGGATTTACCTCATGGGTAACAGTCTTAATCCATGACTTATGTCTTCATAACGCGCTAGGTGTCTTTTGCGAGTTCTAGGGATTTTTAGACGGCGTCGGGCGACGTTGTAACTGAGAGTCGTAGGGACTTCCAACAGTAAGATAGGACCAGGGGCTTGGCAAAGGATTACTGCTCTCAAGCTATGATTTTTGTCACTTCTGAAATCATTTTCGTGTACTCGTAAAGACACCTACTACCTCATCCTATGCCGGCAAATTAGATAGGCTTATCTCTGCTTCTCCCGCACATGACTGTCTTGCCTGAGTGCCTAACGTGGAAAAATATGAGTCATCACACCTCCGCCCCACACTAACCTTTCAACAACACCTCACTAATCTTTCAATAACATCTCACTAATCTCTCAATGACACCTCATTAGTTTTATTACAAAACCCACAATGGACTTTATGAAGCCGGAAACCGTGCTAGAGTTGACTAACGTCAGAGATGCATTGGTGAGAATGGAGGACACGATTGTGTTTGCGTTTATTGAGAGATCGCAGTTCTTCTCGACTCCATCGGTTTACACAAAGAACAATTTTGACATCCCGGACTTTGACGGAACGTTCTTGGACTGGTCTTTGTTGCAGATCGAGAGAACCCAATCGCAAATTAGACGGTACGAGTCGCCTGACGAGTTGCCGTTCTTTCCAGAACAGATTTTGAGCTCTTTCTTGCCCCCTCTTGAGTACCCCCCAGTGTTGGCGTCCTACTCTGACTCCCTCAACATCAATGATGAAATCAAGGACTTGTATGTCCTGAATATCATTCCGTTGATCAGTGCGGGTGAGGGTGAGCAGCCAGAGAACCTCGGCTCCACCGTCTTCTGCGACGTTGACTGCTTGCAGACCTTGTCCAGGAGAATCCACTTCGGCAAGTTTGTCGCGGAGGCAAAGTTCCGCAGCGAGACCGAGCGCTTCACCAAGTTGATCATCGACAGGGATGTCGCAGGTATCGAAGATGCCATCACCAATTCCGCGTTGGAGCAAACGATTTTGCAGAGACTTGTGAAGAAGGGAAATGCCTACGGCACCGATCCGACCTTGAAGTATTCTCAGAACCCCCAGAGCAAGGTTAGTCCTGAGTTCATCGCCAAAATCTACAAGGACTGGATTATTCCGTTGACCATGAGGGTTGAGGTGGAGTACTTGTTGAGAAGATTAGAAGATGAAAAGTAGGGAAAGGTGATGTAGTTAATATAGCTAGTGGGAATGAACCGTAGCAATTATTAATACGACGTAATATTGGTAATCCTT